TTCCCAGCGAGCGTTGGGGTGTCAGGAGGACACGGCGTCCCCCCAGAATTAGCGACAACCTCAGGCTCGAACTCACTTTGGTCGGCTGGGTCCTGGGAGCGGATATAGTCCAGATGTCGAGATTAGGTATTAAGATAAGAATTAAGACCCATTACCTTTTCGGCACACTTTTTAATGACCGTGGCCAGCTCTGAGACCACCAGATCAACACACTTCAAACTGGGCTCTTTGAGCTTTACAATCTGTTTTTTCACTATGGCTTCAAAGGCCATGTCGGGCGTGAAGAGCCCCGTCCTGCACCATGCAGAGAGCGAGACACCAAGCGGAGCGCAGGGAAAAGGGGGGGGGAAAGAACAGGGGGGGGGAATAGCAACAAAGACAGAAAAGAAAAAAATAAATGAGCTTTTTTTTAAAAAAATCAAAGTTAGTGACGTGCAAAGGAAAAAGCTGCAGCGCCTGCTTAAGAAATTCCTTCGCGTCCCTCGGAGCCGCTGGGGCGATGGGTCCCTGGGGGGGGTCTCGCCTCCGCGCGTACGGGAGGGCAGCGCTGCCCCGGCGCAGGAAAAGCCCTGCCCAGGCCGCCGGCGTCTCTCTAGGGCGGATTGCTCAGAGCCGGCCGCAGGAAAAACGCCGAATTTCAACCGGGTTTTGGGGTTAGAGCCTCCCTGAGCAGGCGAGAGGGAAGGAATTTCGGCAGGAGGCGACGGCTTCTCCCCCCGTGACACCCGGATCACAGTCCACCACGCTGGAAACGGAAGAGAACGGAGAACTCCTGACCCACCAAGCGAACCCTCTACCGCTCACGGAGAGCCAGCTCAGCGTTTAAACCGTTCCGCTCCACGGAAGCACTCTGGGGTTCACGTTCTCGCCCATCCGCAGCTAAATTTGTGAAGTGGTTTTTTGGTTTGGTTTTTTTTTTTTCCCCCCCAATCAATCAGGTAGGCATTGGGAAGGAGAGAGGAGCCGCTGCTTTTCCCAACCCTCTTCCCAGTTTAAGGCAAAACGTTTGGCGCTGCCAGGTTCCAAAAATGGAAAGAGTCACTGTTATTAAATATGGAAATGGCCTCTTTATCCAGCTCGAGGGTAATTAACTCTTCCACGGAAAAGAAAACAAACAAACTAACAAAAAAGACAACTCTGGCAGGGGTGGGAACCTTTTGAAAGGCCAATGCGCTCGTTATCGAGCGGCTTATTAATTGCAGAGGTGGAACCGCGGGATTTCCAGGCACCCTTTGCCGTAACTCCTGTCCCTCGGCTTTTTGTTTCCACGTTCCGGAGATTCCCAGAGTGCAGCGAAGCAGCGGTTTAAATCGCAGCTTGAGAAAACACGTGCTAAAGAGAGGTACCGGGGCCCGAGAGCAGCCTGCCCGCCTGCCTGGGCAGCGTCCCTCTAACCTGCCCAACCCCTCGCTGCCTGAGCTGCGCCGTCCCCGGGAGGGCGACGGACACGGGAAACCAACCGTCTCATCCGGCGTCCCCAGAAATCCTGGCGGGATGCCCGGGAGGGACCCCGCCAGCGGTCCGAGCGCCGGGTGAGGTCCTGGCTGAGCCGTGCCTGCCCCAAGGACTCCAAGTCGGGAGACAGGAGTCAAAGCTCCAATTTTCCCCAGATTTTCTTAGGTTTTGGGTTGGTTTGGGGGTTTTATTTGTTTTGTTTGGTTTTTTTGGAGGGGAAACCAGGCAAGGCAGGCAGGTTAGAGCATCGCTCCTGCTTCCCCGTCCCACTGGTAGGAAGGGGCCGGACGGCCTCCAGCCGGTTCAATACCTTACTGGTACACTGTCTAACTGTATTGATTAACTCCTGAATAACGAGGTCGACACACTTCAGACAAGGCTCTTTCAGCTTCACCACCTGCTTTTTCACAATGGCCTCGAATGCCAAGTCTGGGGTGAAGAGCCCCGTCCTACAGGAATCCGCAGGCGGGGCGGGAGGGCAGCGACACGGCAGAGGGAAAAAAAAAAAAAACAACAAAAAAACAAAAACAAAAACAAGAACAAAATGGGTGATCAGGTTTGGAGGCCATCGGCCGTCTCCTGGAGAGCAATTCCCTCCCCGGCGCCGTCAGCCGGGCCGGCCCCCGGCTCCTGGAGCCACGGCGTCGCCGAACTCCGCTCTTTCCTCCCCCTCCTCACCGCCATCGGGGCTGCCACAACCCCCCCGAGGGGACGGAGCGCCGGCACCGCTGCCCCCAAACCTCGCGGTCGCACCCTCCAACCCCTCCAATTAGGGTGCTGCTCCCCCCCCACGAACAGGAGGGAGGGAGCCCGGGTGCATCAGCCCCCCCGAGGAAACGGGAATTAACCTTTTTGGTGGTGTTTAGGGAAAACGGATACCCCTCCAGCTGGTGAAATGATTCCCCAGGAGAGCACTAAAGCAAAGAGAAGAAACCCTCCGCTTCTCTTTTCCCACCACGGCACCAGGCCAAAGGAGAGCAGGGTCGGCCACGAGGAGGACTCGCGTTTAACGCCGTTCCCTCTTTGGGGTCCCCAATTCCCCCGAAAAATCTGCGCCGGATGAGCTGAGCAGCCCCGAACGCGGCGACTGGTCCCCAGCCCACCTGGAGCGGTCCCCACGCCGCCGGCCAGGACCTGCATCCCTCTCTCAGCGAGAGGGTTTCAACTCGCGTTCCCTACCTCTCTCTCAAGGTCATTTCTTCCCCCGTGTAAGGGAGCGGAAGAGGGAAGAGAAAGGTTAATTTTAGCGGCTGAATTGAAGGCACAACGGGGATATTTTTCAGCTCAGCCTCCTGCGGGTTCTCCGGGGAGCGGGGCGAGCCCCACTGCTAAGGGGGAGCGCTCGCTACGCTGCGGTGACACAGCGGGCGGCCGAGTTTACCCCTTCCGTTCCCTCTAAAAGGCAAAGAACGTCCATTTTCAGCAAACGCCGTTCTCCGCAAGACACGGGACGATGAGCTGAGAGCCACAGGTACCACCTCGCCCTCGGCAGGACAGCTCCGATGACACGCAGCGGCGGAGCACCACGACTCAGCTACCCTACGGAGAGCAGGGCCCGCGACCGCGCCGCTCCGATACTTGCCTCACACCGTGGATGTTTTTAATTGCATAGCTTATTTCTCGCCTCAAGTCCTTCTCATCAAACTCCATCTGAAGAGAGAGGAAAGCCACGGTTACGATTTATTTTGGGTTTTTTTTTGGTTTGGGGTTTTTTTTGTGTTGTTTTGTTTTGTTTTTGTTTTTTTACAGCAAGCAACTTCTGCATCCCGCCGCAGCCCTTCTTTGGCACCACAGCAAGAGGCAGACGCCCGCCCAAAGCCCGCGTGGTCCCCGGCCCGCGAGGCACCTCGCTGCCCAGGTTGGTTTGCCCTCTCCGGTTTATTTATCTTCAACCTTGAGATCTCACCAGCGCCCCGGTTTGACATCCTTCTCCCTGCTCTGCAACTGCCTCCCTTGCCAGCCCAGCGCTGAAGGCAGAGGTCGGGCATCGCCACCCGAAAATAACAGTACCGAAACACACGACCGACTCTAGTTAAACGTCCCCTCCTTCCCAAAACACCTCCGAGTGCCGGGAAGGGAAAGGCACCCCAGTGCCAGGGCCGAGCCGGGCTTCAGCCCCACGTGGACGTCGCGGCAGGGCAAGAGGGAGTTCGGCTCATCCCCACCACCCGCTGCTTTCCGCAGGAGGAGGATCCGCCCGGCAGACACGTCCCCAGCCCGAGCTTTACCTTCACCAGCTCAAAAGGAAACCTCTCGTGGAAAATGCGGTTGATTCTGGCACCCCCGGAGAGTTCGAGCGTGTCCACCTGGTCTCCCGAACCTTCGATCCGCTTCTCAAAGTCCACACCGAACTGCTGGACCATTCTGTGGAGAAGCGAGGGGATTAAACGGGCGTCTGTCCGGCGGATGGACGGACAGACACCCAGACCGCCCACCACAGCCAGCGCTACCGCACCGGCTCTGCTTCAGCTAGTCAGGGCAGCCTAAAAAGTCCTCCAAATTCCCTCTGGGGGAGTCGCAGGAGCAAAAAAAATCTCCCTTTTGCTGTAGTGTAAAGAGCAGGCGGGCAGGTCAAGGACAGGCGCGAGTTGTCCTTTCCAACGTCGAGACCAAACTGTTTGCTCTGGGACAGGGAGGCGACGCGGGCAGAGCGCGAGACGCCGATCCCTGCCTGCCCAGATGCTCAGCGGGAATTTCTGGGAGAGGCTTTCCTCGTCCTTCCCAGCAGCCTGCCAGAGGAGCGCCGCAGGACACACAGTCTCTCCCCGGTGCCAGCTTAGCACCGTTGGAGTTGGCAGGACCATCTGCCAGCACCGCTCGCTCCCAACGACGGGGCTATTCCGGGCTCTTCCTCGGAAGAAGCCACCGGCTGAGACAAATGAGCCTCGAACAAAGAGCGGAGCGAGTTTATTTCTGTGCCAGCAAGGTTCCTGGCTGGGAGAGGGGACTCTCCTTGGCCAGGTGAGGCACTGGGAACGCAGCACTGAGCGAGAGAAACCTGGAGAATCACCTCGAGAGAGGGGATTGTGCCCCTCTGCTGCGCTCTGCTCTGCTCTGGGGAGACCCCCCTGCAGTGCTGCCTCCAGCTCGGGGGGTCCCACCAGCAGAAGGAGACGGAGCTGGTGGAGCGGGGCCAGAGGAGGGCACGGAGATGCTGGGAGGGCTGGAGCCCCTCTGCTGGGAGAGTTGGGGGGTTCAGAGAAGAGAAGGCGAAAAAGGGGAGAGCTCAGAGCCCCTTCCAGTGCCCGAAGGGGCTCCGGGAGAGCCGGGGAGGGACTCTGGATCGGGGAGGGGAGCCGTGGGACCAGGGGCAG